ATTCATGATATAAAAAATCTGCTTACCGGTTTTATAGAACGCTCTTAAGCGAGTACGCGAAAGCTCTATTAAAAATAGTTGAAGCTTTATCATTCCTTATTTTAGCTACCAAACACTTTGAAAACTCCTTTTTGGTTAGAAACACCAATGTCTCGTATTAACTGCCTACATCTAGTTTGGCAAGAAATTATGGACGTAATTTTCGATAAAAATAAAGATACATTTAAGAGCAAAGTTAACAAATTTGTCATTAATAAGGGTCTATTTTTTCCTTATCCTCACTTTCCATCACGGGATAAGGAGAACAAACGCCAAATCCCATTACTCTAATAATATACTGAGCCATTTATTTAAAAATTGACGATAACGAAAATCTGAAGACAAGATAAGACAAGACAACAAGATAATAACATAACAGTGTACCGATCTGAAACTAATCAGCTATAATTTATTGTCGACCTTCCAAATACTGACCTGTTTTTTTTCTACTACCACAAGTGGAATATATCCTGATCCACATGTAACGGACACAAAGAACAGCCAGACTCAGAACAACAATATGTGTATCGCACAAAGTGTGGGTTCAACCCACAACACGCAGCGAAGTAGGAAGCGGCGAGGTGACCGCCTTAATCACTACGCCATCCGTGCTGTCTAGGGGTTAGTGACCCTGACGGAGCTGGAGGCCGTGGTTCGATTCCCACCAAATATAAATAATTTTGTGATGATAACGATCATATTGTTTTATGTGTGGATAATATTTGTGTCATGCATGTATTTAAAAATATGTAAGTATGTTTATCTGCAGTCTGGTTTTGCTAGCACGAGCCTAATTTGGGATCGGATGGCCGTGTGTAATGTTAGCATATTCAATAATCGGGTTCATAATATTTATTGAGACAACACCAATTTAGTACACCTTTTTCACTTTTGGTCTGGCAACACCGACTTAAACTAGCGAATATTAAGTATCAGCCATTTGGTACCTTATTCAATTTGGGCACTCTTTTTCGAGCTATCGACGTTGAAGGTTGCCTCAGAAGTTGCATAAATTGTATTAGTTGTGATACAGTAAATAAAGTGATGGTAAAATGCAAGTAATGGAGTAGTATTCTTTCAAGTCAGAAGTGGGATAATCATCTACGTCCTCCGATGTGGCTGTCTCCTGAACAACAACGATGGTTTAAGGTCAGAATTTAATGCATTACACCCCACCTGAAGATTTAGCTTTGCCGTTATAACAATTGTGGTATATTGTTATAAATTTAACCTCCAAAAATTTTCATATATTTGCTGTTGTTTTAATGCTACCGAACTAGATATTCAAATATGATGCTGTGCAGTGAAAAAGGTGTACTAAATTGGTGTTGTCTCAATAAATATTATGAACCCGATTATTGAATATGCTAACAGTAAGAATTGTGGAGTTATTTTGAATAACTATTTTAGTTTTTTGCAGTATTCAAACTATATAACTCTTAAAGAATGCAGATGGCTAATTTAATCTTTTGTTTTATAAACAAATTATAGAAAAAATAAATTACTTACTTACTTGGCTTGGTCATAAATCATCGAAGCAGGCTATCAATGGTTCTTTTGTTGTTGGATGAGAAACAGGGCTTAAGACCGTGTCGCTTATACCGAGTCTACAGCGACAAAATATGTTTAGTATAGCCTGTCATCTAGCTTTTTAGCCTCTGTTTCATCGTAATTGAATGTCGTAAAAAGATATTTTAATGTAGACATTAAAATATCATTTAGACATACCGAACGTAGTTTTTACGGTTAAAGACATTTATTTTTCTCAAAAGATTACAATAAATCACTTGCAGAGAAAAATACAATACTAAACAAAAATATATTACTTAATTAGCGTAGTTAGTTAGTAAGGTAGTTGTGAAAAGTTTTTTGTAAGTAGGGTAGATTAAATACTTTCTATACAGCTGTGAGCTCAAGAATGTTGGTGCACAAAAGAATGCATGTTTGTTAAGGCCTATGACTTAGTGACACGTACCTGTAGATTGATGTCAAACATTTTATTTCTTATTATAGTGACACCAGCAATGTAATATGTTTTATAAGTAAATAATATGTTATATAATTATTTAAGCGGAGTGTACCTACTGCTTTTATGTATATTTAGACTAAACATAGGAGCGTTGTAAATTGCATCCCAGAATATTGTATGTAGTGTTCTATACATAATATTGCCAATCTTTTTTTTTTTTTTTAAATAGTGATTCTACATCGCGCAATGAAAGCTCCGATTATCCTATGTACAATTTCAAGACACCAACCGTTGCATGGTTGTACCTCAGTTTGTCGGGATTAAGCTAATAGGGGCATTAGCTAGAAGTTCATAACACTCATTCCTCGCCTTACGTGTATCTCAGGAATTGTTTTCAAAATCCAATAATTTCTTTAACATACAGAGAACATCGATTGAAAGGAATAGTATTTTTATTGTTATTGTTTTAGTATCACTGTCATGATTACCAATTATGAAATAACTAATAGTACAAAGTTAAAAATGAAACATATTCCAATACATTCCTTTCGATTGCACAAAAAAATCCTCCAGTAAAAATGTTTGATTGTTAATAACGTTTAACCTTGTGGTTGTATCATTTTTTGCTGGTTCTTTCTTTCTTCTAGAGGACCATGATGAAGATTTTGTTATTTTGTTACCACGAGTGCACTTTTCAGACGCCCATAGAAGACTTGCTTCTAGATTAAGCGATGCTGCTACCCTTAGAGGCTTAAATATTAATAACTACTAGTTTACCACTCCTGATATTTTAAGTACCTGAGTTTAATATCTAACAACTTTGAGGTTATTCGTCTGGCCAATGTGGTATAGTAAGCCAAATCCTCCTTACTAAGGAGAGGCCTATATCCAACAGTGCACTGTTAAAGGCTGGGGACATGCGCTCCGCAACTCGTCTCGCCGCCACACCCTGCTTCTGCTAGGGTGAAAGATGCCCTCACCTGTCACCCCCAGGCCTGAGCTTATGGAGGACGAAGGTCGTTCTGTGACCTCCGGCGCCCAAGGCGTCTGCGGTACCTGGCCCGTTCCCGGGCCTGGCGGGCCGAGAGAGTTCTAAGCCTCTCCCGGTCCCGCTCCATCATCTCACAAGCATAACTTGCTCGCAGAAGTAGACGGCGGAGTTCCACGCACTCTCGCTCCGTACCATGGCGGCAATCTTACTACCGAGCGAGAGGACTCCCACTCCGATGGCCACCACGAGGTCACGCCTCTGCTCCACCCACGCCGGGCATTCTGCCAACGTGTGGAGGGCCGTGTCCACGGTCTGGCCGTCGCAGGGGTGGCACTCCTCTCGAGCCTATCCTCCATAACGGGTCTTACCGCCGCAATAACGGCGTGCACGAATAGTCTGCCTATTACAGTAAAATATTATTTTACTACAACACTACGACGTTTTTTTTTTTAACTTCCTAGGATAATAGATACGAAATTCTGGTTTTATAATTGGGTACTATTTTTGGAGTCCAAATAAGCGATGTAAAAAAAAAAAACGATTTTGAAAAAAAAACAGACATATTAGGATATTTTTTTATTTCAATAACCTACATACACTCAGGTGGAGCAGCGAGCAAAAGTAGTATATAGAATGTAAGTTATGACGAATTGTATTTTGTCAAACATGGAATCCCTCCTAACTGGAAAGAAAGCTAGAGTTCAGGGAGAGTTTTAACTCGGTTAATCTTACTCACTCAGTTAAAAGCAACGAACATATTTCTTTACTCAGCAACTATCCCCTTTTCTATCTTGAAATGAAAAACTAGGAAAACCAAACATAATTTTAATCCTATATCACGCGCCATAAGGCTTATTAATATTATTTCAATACAAGTAGATATCTACAACTGTAGCCTGCCGAACTTTAAAGAATTCGCCCAGAGATGTATTACAGCAAATGATTTGTATGTATAAATAACTGTTACTTACTGTTTTTACTTACAGTATCGTTTTGGGATAAATCCTGTAAAGACACTGTAATTGTTTTTAATAAATAAATAAATATATATTTTAAACCTTCTTCTTGCGTGATGCAACTTATTCCGTGACGCTTCCTCTTGTGCTAGATAGTTTTTAGAACGAACGCGTAAACTGGGAAATGTTTGTAAAAGTTACATTACGTGATTTCAATGTGACCGACATTAAAATAATTTTAATAAATTCTGCAATAGCCTTCCTACTACAGTAAAATATTATTTTATTAAATACCGTAGCTATAACACTACGATGAAACGATACATTACGTGGAAAGAGGTTCTAAAATATACATAGATAAAGTCGTATATTATTAATTTGCACGCTGAGTGTTGTGGGCTCGATCCCCACATGGGACAACACCTTGTGTGATTCACAAATTGTTGTTCTGACTCTGGGTGTTATTTGTGTTTCTGGAGTTTACAAACATTCATGAAATGTTTGTAAACTCCCAGGATATGTTCCTAATGCGGAAGTTGTCTTTAAAACGAATTATAAAGCGAAGCTAACTGCTGATAAAAATATAAGTTAAGATTGCTTTTTATGGACAATCTTTATTTATTTCTTTTTGACGTGTGTATTACAGAGCTAAATAGTTAACTAGTAAGTCGAACTTGAACTGAGTATCACATCACACATCAACAGCCTTTAATAATCCACTGTTGGACATAGGCCTCTCCTTAGAAAGGTAACCACTTAGGTACTGAGTATACCATCGCAATATTACATCACGAAGTCGGTTTACCACTACTGTGCTTTTCTCAAAACACTGTTTGCCTCGCACAACTAATATGTGGTACAAGTTATCGTCTGCAGTATTTCCGGATCGATCCGACCTCCAAACCTTCAAAAAAAGAGCGAACCCGTTTCTGATAAATCGGCGTTCATGGGCGGCGGTAGTAACTTTCCATCAGGTGACCCGTGTGCTCGTTTGCCCCCCCTTCCATAAAAAATGTAAATACCAGAGAATGATAGAATTAGCCGCATGCCGCACCATGCGATCCCACCAAATCATTATACCTTCTCATTTACTCGCACCGGTTACAATGGTGAAGAGCCCCTACTGTCCCTAAGACCTGCTGCTCATCACCTGACGGGTCTGTTGGTCTACTGGTTAGTGACCCTAAATGCTAAGCCAGCGGTCGTAGGTTCGATTCCCACCCAGGATAAATAATTGTGGCATGAGAACGATGGTTTGTTCTGTGTCTGGGTGTGATTTATCTATAATATGTTTGTATTTAGAAATATCTAAGTATGTTTATCAGCAGTCTGGTTACCATTTTTTTTACGTGTGGGTGTGGGTCGGTGTGACGGCCCGAGCCTATGAATCCGGTTCATATTATAAAGCTGAACAGTTCGTTTGTTCGGTTCTACTGGTTTGAATTGAAATAAATCTTTTAGTGTTGGATATCCTATTTATTGAGAAACCACGCTACGCGACCATTTTTTGTTTTTTTTAAGTGTGGAATCCCCCTCGGGTCGGACCGAATAAAACCACACGGTGTGCCTCTGTGCGCCTGTAATAGGAGGAACTGCTGTTTTTAAGACATCTTGACCCCTCACAGGCTTTTCCTAGTTTGGGATCAGTCGGCCGTGTGTGAGATGTGTCAACGTATTATTATAATTATTATTGGCCAACTCGACTGGAGTGATGCTGAGTTACACAAATTACCCAGAAAAGCTTTGCACCTAGTAATGAGGTTAGCCATAGGAACATAGATGACTGTCAAGTCAAAACAGCATCTTTTTATTACGTTAAACGTTAAAACGCTATGCATTTTTGTATGAAATACTATTTCGAGACGTCATACCTAGTTATTGTAAAATCATTTATATTTAATGTAGATTTGAATATATCTAAGCAATAAAAACATTAAATTGATAATGAAGGACCCTTCAGGGTGTATTTTAAGATGTTACACTTAATAATGTGGGTGAAATAATTTAGTTTAAACTTAGGAATCTACCCAATTTTGGACATGCTGGCACACATCAAAACAATGTTGTGGTATATTTAATAGTGCCATTGTATCTATCTGTGAATTGCAAAAGAGTGACCATGAGTTTGTTTGTCCTTTCTTCAAATAAGGCTAAACCCTTTGGAAACGGGCGGTTGTAGATCGGCACAGGCATGTTATAGATTTTGTTAATCATATCATAAGTTTAATTTTTGGTAAATTAATTTGCTTACTATTTGACAAAACAAAGATTTTTGATATGACTTTAGAGTCTACATAAAAGACGATTTCAAACAATTTTAATTTTTTATGAAATAAAGAGTGTTTCAGAGGAGATGCCTATATCCAGCAGTTGACTATCATAGCCTGTTGATGTGATGTGATATGTGAAAGAGAGTTTGAGTTTGATTTCGAGGGCGACACTCAAAATTCACCAACATACTTGTGTGTTATATTACTTACCATCTGGTGACCTTGATCTTACCCTTATTGCTTTTCCACCTTCAAACTGCAAATTAAGAAGTTATTCTCTACATTACAGGTCCCGGTTCAACAAAACCCGCATTAATACCGAAGAGTCAGCTAAAATACTTATCTTTCGTGGTCCAAGGAAATGGAAGAAGTAGGCAGAAGTACACGTATTGGAGCGCTAAGAATATTGCGAAGGATCCAAGAGTTAATTTTAAGAGGTGGGTATTTTGTCGTGGGTTTTGTACTCACCCTTTTTACCGGTACAGTTACCATCTACCGGTGACTATGACGGACTCGAACCGACTAAAAACCGCACGCCATATCGGGTAACAGTAGCCGGGGAACCAGGTGTACCCTAGAAAGGAAATCCCTGGTACCCCGACGTACCTCGGACCATCTACGACATGTAGATGACCCCCTCCTGTGTGGGAACCCCCATGTTCCCTTGGCACAGGGCAATTATTGTGTGAGGAGTACGATCATCTGTTCTGTGTCTGAGAGTAATTTATGTATTTAAAAACGTAACTTCATAACACTGGCGTGAGCTTGAAGCGTCTAATATGTTAATACATTTTATTTAAGCACAATTTAGTTCGTGCCGTTTTTTTCTCCACAGAACTATTAACTATTTTGACATTAGTTTTATGTTGAAGAGATAGATAAGTACTCTTATTTAAACACCATGCTTAGGAAACATACAATGTAGAATACAGAAAAGAACAGTAGTATATTAGACGGCCTTATCCCAATCTGCGATCTCTTACAGGCAAAATTTAGATGGACTAGCACGTAAAGTAGTGGTGCGCGCTAATGTTTGAATATCACATAACATCATCATCATTAATAGTCCACTGCTGGACGTAGGCCTCTCCTTAGAAAGGAGGTTTTGGTCTACTATATCACGCTGGCCAGACGGGTTGGTATAGGGTTTGTTTCTAGTTTTCCTTCTTTTTGCAGTGCTGTTGTCCTGAGCAGTTTGCTCCTTTAGTCGGCTCTTACGACACCCACAGGATGAATAGGGGTGGTGACATTCCGTATTCTTAATCCGTCACCACACGAATGCGTCGCCATCACATAACATAATCCAATTTATTTAAATAACAATATATTTGTGTCAATGGGTAAAAAATACAGCAACATTAGAACTATACACATTTGCAATCGGAGAAGAAATGTCAAAACCCATGTAAATATACGGGTATTAGTTACATTGTCGAATACTATACTTATTTCACTGTTCGTGTTTCCGTTAATAACGTATAAGATACGCAATATCCTTAATATTTGACTGTTCTTCAATATCATCTATTGGCAGTTTAAGAGAGCATGACGTTTCGTCACTCCGTCACGCTTCGGTCGTGATCTCAGGGCGTAGGGCTTCTTACGACAGCAAACGACATTTTACACACAATATCGAAGCGATACGGTGTGATGAAACTTCGTTCTAGTATAACGCTTAAGTGTAAGACGAGTATAAAATAAAATATTGAATCTAAAAATAGAATTTTTTGGGGGTTTATAAAGTTACAAGTCACTTCCCGGTTCCTTTTCCAAAAGTTTCCTAACCTTCTTCAAGAATTGTACTATAAGACGTGTTTATGTTTTAGAGTTTAAGGTAAGTATTTTACGCATTCAATTAGCATAACTGACTCCTGAACTTTGATTATATATCTGTTTATATTAACTTAGCTCAATATAGGCAGTGTCTATTGTGTTTTAAACAAGCCTTCGAAACCGTCGAAGCCGTCAAAACTCATGAATCTATTATTAAAGGCAATGAGAGAAAATTACAAATGTGAATTGATAAAGTTGTATTACTAATGTTCTGCAGTTTTACTAGTCTACTGCTGGACATAGGGCTTTTCTCAGAAAGGAGGTTTTAACGATATAGGGGTAAATATATAAAAACAAGGTATAGGGTTTGTCTCAAGTTTTTCTTCTCTTTACAGTGCTGTTGTCTTGCGTAGTTTGCTACCTTAGACGTATCTTACGACACCCACGGGATGAATAGGTAGGATTAATAGGTTTCCCGTATCCATTTTCTTATTTCTGCTCGTATCAATATAGATAAATTACAAAGCACAAAAAAATACTTGCGAATTTCAACTAAAGGAGTAGATTACACCTGTCTATATGACTCTAATTTTGTTTGACAGAAAGACTCTTCTAGTGGCCATTGGTTACTTAGACAGCCCGAACCTGCCGATATCAGCCATGTTCGCAAATGAATACGAAGACCGAGGGTACAACGTCATCTTAGTCGACAATCAAAGATTTGCGACAGTGCATTATCATTTGTAAGTAAGTTTTTAAGTAACCATATCAACTGCATTTATTCCATTTAAGTCATAACTAGCTATTACATTTAAAAGTCATAACTAGCTATTCCATTTAAAAGTCATAACTAGCTATTCCATTTAAAAGTCATAACTAGCTATTCCATTTAAAAGTCACTTATTTATTCATTTATTGACGACCGGATGGCGTAGTGGTTTGTGTAACGGACTGCTATTCCAAAGGTTTCGGGTTCGATTCCAAGTCAAACGTTTGTGTGCATGAACATTTAATGTTTGATTTGGTCTGAGTGTTTCTATGTATAACTAGCTGATTGACCCGCGGTGTTACCCGCGTTTATTGTTATAACCGCGGGCAACGCCGCGGGGCGAAGCTAGTCTAAAAAAAGTAGCCTAAGTTACTCCTTATGTCATCAGCTATCTGCCAGTGAAAGTTCCGTCGAAATCGGTCCAGCCGTTCCAGAGATTACCCGGAATGAACAGACAGATAGACAGACAGACAGACAGACAGACAAAAATGTAAAAAATGTTATTTTGGCATATGTACCGTGTAAACATACATATGCATTTAATAAAAAGCGGTTATTTTAATATTACAAACAGACACTCCAATTTTATTTATTTGTATAGATATGTGTTTTTACCAAAAAAAGTATATATGTATTTATATCAGTTGTCTAGTACCCATAGTACAAGTTCTGCTTAGTTTGGGGCTAGATGGCGCTGTGTGAATGTGGTAGAATATTATTATTTATTTATTTATGTATTGGATCCGCTGAGCTCCTAAAGTCCTGGGAGAGCCAGACTTCAGCACATTTGTGCCCGCTCGCCCGGAGTAATACTAGCCTAATATAAAAGTTTTTTTAAGACGTCTTCTGCACTAGGAATATAATAGTATGTCGCGGGGGACTTTACAAACATACATCAATCGGACACAAAGAACACCCAGACTCAGAACGTGTGGATCACACAAAGTGATGTCCCATGTGGGAATCGAACCCACAAAACTTAGCGCAGTAGCGAGCAGAAAGGTGACCGCTTAACTACCATCCGTGCAGTCGGGCAGTGCAGTTATGTTAGCAGCTTAGCCTCCCTCTTCTAATTCTGGGGAGGGGGCACTTGTGACTCTTTTACAACTGTGGCCGGTGGTGGACTGCACGGATGGCGTAGTGGTTTAAGCGGTCGCCACGCCGCTTCCTACTACGCCGAGTGTTGTGGGTTCAAACCCCACATGGGACGACACTTTGTGTGATCCACAAATTGTTGTTCTGAGTCTGGGTGTTCTTTGTGTCCGTTTCATGTATGTTTGTAAAGTCCCCCGCGACACAGGCTATATTCCTTATGCGGGAGTTGTCTTTTAAAAAAGAGAAAGAGAAAAAAAGAGTCACTTGCCATCAGGTAACCGTTTGTCCCTTACAACTTAAAAAAATAACGAATTTATACAATATAATTTGTAATAGGACAAAATCACGGAAGATGTTTGAGAAAAATTGACATTGGCCTCAAGCCATGGCGTACAGCCAACATAACTGAGTCAACTCTTTTTGCCAAACGATCGGTATAAAACCTGGATTGTAGGTATGTACAGTCGGAAAAAAAAACATAATTGAGTATTTACATTTAGTAATGGCTCTAGTTAATATATTTTTTATTACAAGAATAAATAATAATATAATATAACTAGCGGACCCAACAGACGTTGTCCCGTCAAATTTGACACTGCGATGGTAGCGCCGTCTGTCTGATCCAATGTAAAACATTCCAAAATCAACAACTACTAATAATTTAAAAATTAATTAAAAAAACATTGTCCAGCGGACAAAATTGTGAATCTAAACCATTCCCAGATCCCCTTGAACACACACGAAAAATTTCATCAAAATCGGTCCAGTCGTTTGAGAGAAGTTCAGTGACATACACACTCACAGAAGAATTATATATATAAAGATATATTTTACTACATTCATACAACGCCATCTAGTCCAAAACTAAGTAGAGCTTGTACTATGGGTACTAGACAACTGATATAAATACATATATACTTTCTTTTTTTGTAAATACATACATATTATACATAGAAACACCCAGACCAAATCAAACATTAAATGTTCATGAACACAAATGTATGACTGGAGCGGGAATCGAACCCGCGACCTTTGGAATGGCAGTCCGTTACACAAACCACTATGCCATCCGGTCGTCAATTAAATAGTGACTTATTTGTTTTTAATCGTATAGTTTGAGGATTTTGGTATGTCCCTTCAACGTTAAAGGTGAAATTGATAATCGAAACGGCACAGGGAGCATTTAGACTCATAGGCAGTCTATTACGCGTTTAGATAAAGTTGCCTAGGTGAGCCAGCCTAGCTTCGACTAAACGTACGGGAACCTATTGTAGCATTTACAATATTCCAGGAGCGTCCTCGTCCTTTTATCACCGCTTACCAATAAATTTCCACATCTTATTACCACCAGAATATGTCAACTGATACTGGTAACAGGGTTGAGTATAAAATTTTCGTTCTTGACTGTACTTTGTTGAAAATGACTGTTTGTTTAAATAGAAGATATTTAAATGAAAAATCTTTTGTTTTTGACTAATTATAACAGAATGGAGTAGCAGGTTTGCTATTAAGGATATAAAAAATACTGATACCTACCTATTGTTTTAAATTTGTATTTATTATATTCTTCACAAAATACACTTACATTCAATGGGCCGGCTTGACCGGAGTGATACCACGGCCTCACAGAAAACCGGTGTTAAGCAATTCTTTCGTTGCCTTCACTGAGTGAGTGAGGCTACCGGAGCCCAAATCCCCCCTCCCGCGGGAGGGACTCCAAGGGCGGCAACGCACTAGTGACTTTTGAGTTGCAGATGTCCATGGGCGGCAGTGGTTACTTGCCATCAGGTGTCCCGACTGCTCGTTTGAATCCTTATACCATAAAAAAAAAGATTGAACATTTGACAATGTTTTAGGGCTATTTGGCATCGCCTTATCGAAATGTACGAATCTACAGTAACTCATTTTAGTTATTTTTTTTCCAGAGCATCCCGCCTAATGCGTCCCGTCGGGAAACACGTCGCAGAAGTAATAATCCAACTCATGGAATTCGGCCTAGATCCTTCCAAATTAGAACTCCTAGGGTTCAGCCTAGGCTGCCACACTGCCGGTTTCATAGCCAGCCATTTCCAAACAATGACAGGACGAAATATATCAGCGATAACAGCACTGGAACCATCAGGACCATGTTTCAGAAATTTGGGACCGTCGGAACGACTGGATGCTTCAAATGCTGATTTTGTCCAAGTCATTCATACGAACATCGATGGTTACGGCATGGCGACTCCAATGGGTCACGTGGATATTTACGTCAATGGTGGGGAGTATCAACCCTCAGATATAACAGTATATCCGTGTACATCAACTTGCAGTCACTTCAGGATTTTGGCGTTGTGGGTTGCAGCATTGAAGAATCCGAGAAAGTTTGTAGGTATAAGATGTAACAGCATTCAACAGGCCAGAGACTCGGAGTGCTACAGTAACGTGCCTTTGGAGACCATCTTAATGGGTCTGTTAATTGACAGGTCGAAAAGAGGTATATTTTATTTAGCCACGTCTGTGGAGTACCCGTTTTATTTGGGTGCAAAGGGGCTGAAGCCAGAATATGTTTATTGGAAAACTCTGACTAATATCAATGATGGGGATGATGTGGAGATATACACTTGATGGTGTTGGGTCAGTTTTAGTGAAATTATATTTGAGCTTATATTACAAAGAAATTTTAAATGAGGTGACGTCACTTGGTACAAATTACTAGGTATGTTCGTAGGCAGTATAATAGCTCGTGGTGCACGGTGAGCATCAATTACAGTCAAAACAAAACATCACAGTTTCCTGTGCTCGACTTGAATATTTTTGCTATCGCAATTGTAAATTTTGTCACAATTTGTTAAATTTGTTCTATTACTTTTTACTTCCAAGATGTTTTACATATAAAGTTTAATATTTCTTTAATTGTGGTAAAAAAAACATATAATAACTCAAGAATAAGTTTATTCTCAAGTTATTATATGTTTATACTGTGATAATGATTTCGACCAAATTAAAGTATTGACCTTGTTATTCGGCGTGATCTTTCGTTGTGCGGTGAAGGATCATTTTGGCAGTTACGAAAGAGTTCAACTTATCTTCATTAGATGGCGCTATTATAAAATAATAATTCATACTGATATCAAAACATTTTAGGAATGACATTAGATAGGAATTGCAATTGTCAAATTACATGGTGACATTGGAAATAATGTAAGCCAAATTGCATGGCATGCAATCACTTGTAACTTATCCACCCATTCCTGGGCATTCAATTAATTTAGTACAAACAAATTAACCTATAGTAGTATTTATTTTAACCTGTTTATAAAGGAAATATTGAAGTCTCAAGTGAATACTTGTTTTATTTATTTTCGCATTATACATGTATATTTCACGTTGATTGATAACTATGTATATTAATTTTAAAGCGAAAAAAATTTGATTATCACGTCTATACACCTCGACAATTCAGTCTGAAAATAAAGGACAATAATTTCTTTTTTTTTAAGATTATGGGTACTTTATGAAGATGACATTACCGTTTGTTTACACTACGGGTTGGTTTTATTGCGTGTAGTAATCCTAAAAGTAGAACGAGGTGACATTTTTCATCGAATAGAATGCTATAAATTTACCGGCGTTTCACTAGAATGAACATTGTTTTGTGTTGAGTTGAGAATATTAAATACTAAATATTTTAGGGTTTTTAAAATAAATCTACACAAGTATGAGATGACATCTGTTTGTTCTATTAAAGTGTTGGCGTCAGGCAGGTTGGCCATAAATGAAACTAGACAAAACCATTTGCAGTACTACACAATGCACGAACCCATAATAAAATTAGGAAAAGGCAGATAGATAATGATAATTTTGATGATTTTCAACACCTTAATTTATTACTGATATCATTCTCTTCCACTACCAGGTGATATAGCTATCAACTACTATTACATATTTAATATGCTTTTATGTTACGGGAACCATCACTTAAAAATCTCTATAATAGCCTTTATTAATATCTGTGAAAATAGTCATCCCAATAGTTCACCATAAGTATTATTTAACGGGCCTGTTAGTCTAGTGGTTAGTGACCCTGACTGCTAAGCCGGAGGTCGTGGGTTCGATTCCCACCCAGGACAAATATTGTGTGATGAGCACGGTCATTTGTTCAGTGTCTGCGTGTAATTTATCTATAATATGTATGTATTTAGAAATATATAAGTATGTTTATCAGCAGTCTGGTTACCATAGTACAGGCTCTGCCTAGTTTGGGATCAGACTGCCGTGTGTGAGATGTGTGAAGTTATTATTATTATAAAAAATAAAAAACGTGTGTCTAACATCTTGCCTCTCATCATCATCATCAGCCGCATCGCAGTATACTGCTGGAGATAGGCCTCGCGTATACCTTTAATTTGTGAAAGTCATAATGGGACGGAAGTATGTAACAGGACCATAGAGCACGAGTTGTTCTGGCGTTGTCCGTCAGATGACAGGTTAGATGTCAAATTTGACACATGTGATTACAGCTATAGCTTATTCGTTTTTTGAACGCATTTTCTGTAAACGTTTGCAGATTGCTTTACTGTCTAACGAACTTATATATAATCTATTTCTATAAAAGAAGAAACTGACAGTATGATTCACTGACACATGCACAGCTGCAACCGCTGGCTCTAGAAGCATGAAATTATGCACAAATATTCCTTAGGTACCGTACTTGTGCGCTAAGAAAGGATTTTAAACAATTTCACCCCTAATGGTGCGAAATGGGGATTGGAAATTTCTATGAAAGTTCGTTATATTTGGGTAGTAGCGTAAGTATCCTCAACGATGTTTGATGTGACCACAGAACGGACGAAGTCGCTGGCAAAAGTTAATAATAAATAATAAAAACAAAAATGCTAAGTGTTCCACGGCTTCTCTAATTATTAATAACGTTATAACTATAAAAAAAATTAAGATATATGCTATATGCAATCTGTATATCCAGTGTTTAGCCACTTCACCGTGTATTAGATACAAATATGCTCACACACATATATATTCGAAACTTTCTTTTAGCTAGTTTGTATATACATATATATGTGACATAAAATTACATAGGTAAATATGATAGGCTTAAAAATAGTTTCAAGGGCATTGCCATTGAAAATATTTTCAATATAAGCCTAAAGGTGTGTTAGCTCTTAGAATTTCATCAGGCGTACTTACTTGCCTCTCCTATATTCTTAGTAATTAAATATGTGTTAGAATTATTTGGAGCTCAACTGGTATCTGGTGCGTCTTATGGGGGGCAGAAAAGTATTAGCGATCTGTTTAGGCCCTACTTTTGTCTGATTATTCATTGAGAAATCCGGCTTCTATTAGCTTCTTCTGTATCTAAAATTGTTATTTTTCTCTTATTGTGAGGTTTAATTTCAAGCCCCGGTGAGGCAGGGCAGGGCATTTTCTGTAAACTTAATCAGTAATCGAAAAGTTTTTCTTAAATTATCAAAATAATAAATAATTGAAAAGTACTAAATAAAAAGTCATGATTATAATTCACTTTGTTGTGTTTCCTCTACCTTAAAACAAATTCTGACTACGCCATGATTGGTTTGTACTTCAAGATTCTACCAAGTAATATGCAGCAGTAGTTCAATGCCATTGGAGATTTTTAGCAACATAGTTGCTAAATTTGTTTCTAAATGTGAGACAAACACAGTGCTAACGTATTTTGTCACGAACACAGTAAATTATTTTAGAACTTTAAATTTTAGCACATGCGGCAATAGCTCACACACCTATGTGGAGCGCTTGTGATGCCTAAGTACTCCTGAGGGCCTGGTGCATATATTTCACATCATTTCAGATCAACTTGCTCTCGATAGCTAGCGTGTTCGGAGTTGCGATTGGGGAAGATTTCAATGCCGGCAATGTTCGAGCTAATGTGAAAAAAACTATACCCTCTGTGTTGCACGTCACTTCCTTACTTTCAGACTCTGTTTAATAAAAAACCGCTTATTATCACTTTAAAAAAAATGTATAACTTTTTAGAACTGTGTGTTATTATTACTATATCTAGTTACTTTTCGTACTCTATTCAATTGGATACATATTATATTATACTCTAACACAGTAGAAAGAGCGGCGGTCATCTCAAAGGGTAATGGTGGCATGGAAGTAAACTATGAAGAAGAAAGCCTTAAAAATAAAGTGGGTGGTTTTAGTTTATAACTTAACCGAACCACAGAGTGTAACGGTCATCCATGACAACTCTAAGAAAACATTCTAAATAAATTATTTATCCCGGAGGTGTAGTTGCCCATCATTCGTTGACCAGTTTCGAGAAGCCAGCTTCTTCTCTAGATGTTTGTAGCTCATTGTCTTCCAAGAGTACGGAGTATTTTCTAACCAATAGCATAAAAATACAAACGAAATACATCAAGAACATTACGGTGACAACTACATACTTCGCAATTTCCGTACTCATTTCGTTCATGGATGGTTACCAAATCTTAAATTGTATGTTATGAAAATTATTACATAGAGAACGCAACTATTATATATGTTACTTTCGAACTATGAACGCAACCTTAGCACTTGAACAATGTTACTACATCCAATTATTTTCCTTGAATCTCGGCAAAATTGCAATTAAAAAATTTACTCACAATTTAGAACTTTTTCTTTTTTTTCCAAAATAAATTCTCATGAATTTTTGATTTTTAACAATTTTATTAATTAGAATAATACTAGTAATTATTATCTTCTGGTTACCCTTATCCTAATCTTCTTTGGGGTCGTCGCAGTATGTTTGATTCTACCATTCTACTCCAACATTTGTCATCTTATTGTTTACTCTCTTCTTAGCCATATCCTAGCTCACACAGCCCATCTGCCTTTTCTTTGGTCTTCCTCTTCTCTTGTACCCTTCAACTCCCATTGGTAACACTTTCTTAGCCACATTTTCCTCAACCATGACATGCCCATACCAAGATAACCTATTACTTATTAACTTTTCATCAAGCGGCGCTACTAATCTCTAATAATACTAGTAATAACTGTAACCAAAAATCATAAAAAAAATAAAGAATACATTCAAGTAATATAGTGTTTTTTCCACATTATTGATTGGTTGACTAACATTATATTATATATATAGTATTATTAAAATAATCAGCTTAATCAAATTTAGGGAAAATCTAAAAATTCTTTTGCAAGATGGATATTTTAAAAATAGTGCTGGCAGTACTAAATAGTTAAACGTCAAGTTGTCGCAATGACGCAAGCAGTTGACATGAAAGAAGGGGAAAATCCTTGACGATCTTTTCTTCAATCTTTCAAAATGGTGTTTCTTACTGTTAACGAGTTTCTTTCTAAATTACATCAATTATTACTAAAATGAACTTTGAATTGTGTATGTAACGAGTGAACACCATTATCTTTAATATTTAAAAATTCCTTGTGTTACTCTTTGTAGCGAATTTGTGTGTGATTTTTTTTTATCGGCAATATTCAAAATCAATTATCACTGTGATGTTTGTGTTCTGACTGTTATTTAAAGTGTATTACGTAAGTATATGAAACATTTTTGTTGTTAAACACGTTTGGAAGGTGTTGTCAGTGCCAAGTTTTACGTATTCGCGTCA